TGGAACCAGAAATAAACTTTTAATAATCCATAATAATCCATAATTGCCCAAAGCAGGCACTGTTCATTTCCATTACTTGTAAAGACTGTTTTGTTATTTATTACTATTTTAAAGATGGTTTAAAAGTTTTTGCCTTCCTTATATTCTATTTCCTTATAGATTTAGCATGCTTTTCTGGATTTTTCAAGATATTTTAAATCAGACCTTATGTCCTACTCTCAGACCACTCTCTTGGTTTTTATTTGGAAAATATGGTAACTAACAATGGGCTCTAGCATTGCAAAGATTGTGAGGATGGTGCAGGACCAAGCAGTATTTCATTCTGTTGTACGTAGGGTCACTATGAGTCGGAACTGACTCGAGGGCACCTAACAACAACAACATACTTTTGTAAATTGATGTGGCCGATCCATAAAAGCCTGAAATTTTAAAAATATTGGTACCTAATTCACCATTTATTAAACCAAAAAATCAATGCTTTCTTTTCTTACTCTATTTCCTAATACTTTCATGCGATCTTAGCAAGCTGAGTTGGGGAATTAAAAGCCTCTGTGTAGCCATAAAATTTGCTCAGGAAAATAAGGAAAATCCACAAATATTATTTAAATCAGAGATTTATTAAAACAGTAAACTAAGATTCTATTCTACAGATAGCTTAATGCTTAGTAGTCTAACACATTAAAAATAACAAAATACTTAAACATGTAACAGTGATAACATGCAGTCTTTTTCCAGTACTTTAGTAAGTATGGACTCCTTTTTAACTGGATGGAAATAACTTTTCAACCCAGATTCTTTGGAAATGTTCGGTAAAGAATGTGGCAAAAATTACAAAGCCTCCCAAAGAATTATTTTTACCCTTAGATGAGTCGTCTCAATAGTTTTCTTTTGTAATCTCCATACTGGATTGAGCTACATTTGCATATGGGTATGTTTAGTATCTTTTGACTCCTTTCCCGCCATTCTTCTTCTTTAATTTGCGGTGCTTAACTTTCTTAGAGGGAGGATGGTTGGACACCTGCTTCAGGTACTTCGTCATCATTGATGCTGTGGCCACCAGTCTACAGAGTATTTGGTTAATGTCAGAGACGGACTGGCTTTCTACATCATTACCAGATGTATCTAAGGAGGCTTGTTTTTTCAGCTAAAAGGAGAAAAACAAATGATATTACAGATTTTTTCTTTCTGTGGTTAAAAATAAATTTGTTTTCTGAATACATAAACTTAAACTCTATTAAAGTGCCCTACATATCAATTATTTTTACAGAAGTTACTACAGAAGAAAGGTAAAATTACAGAAGAAATCTTTTGTGTATGCCCCAAATAAGATTATAGTGACAACTATCATCATCAGCAAACATTTATTTAGTGCTTTCTATGGTTAGAGCACTCTGCTGGGAGAAATTATTTGAATATTATCAAAATAATATTCCATACTAAACAGCCTCAAGCTATACTAATACAATAAAGTATTAGTACTTAGAAAATA